ACTGGATGTCAGGCAGATAAAAACAGCTCATGTTCTTTACAAATACAAATGCATACTTCAAAGGCGATTGCCCCATAATTCATTCATAGACCAAGCCTGGGGCTAGGATGAAGGTTTAAATTAGTGCTATAGTGAGTATAAATTTTAAGTGCTATAGTGAGTGTACATTTTAAGTTGTTCTTTTGAGATGCTCATGGTAATGGCAGTAGGAAGGTAATTTCTAGGTAAAGAGTGAAAATATAAAGTCTATTGAGAAAAATTTTATGGAGAACGACAGACTGCCTGACCCTACTGGATCAAACCACATTGATATAGGTTTGAATTTTCAACATAAATATTTTAGTGGTAATCAGAATGTGATAACTACTCATAATAATGCTAACAATGTATTAGTTAAATAAAGTTAATATCAGATCAATTATTCTTTTTTGGATTATAGAGAACCTAATTGATTAGAAATCAGTTATACTAATTAATACTAAAAGAATAGGATCTTCATCAATAAATAGAGATGTATATTGAAAAAGTCAGACTACATCTACAAAATGTCAGTTATCAGGCAGTGGCTTCGAATCCAAAATGATGGTTGGGTGTAAAGTGAAGTTTTAATTGACAAGTTGAGTTATTGTGAGTTGAATTATAATTTTATGGCATATGAATTATTTCTTAATTTTAAAAAAGACTATAAAAACACATGACTCAGAAGGAACTACATATCATTTTTTTTTTTTTTTGTCTTTTGTCTTTTTTCCATGTCCGGCAACGGATCACAACCCTCAGTGTTGCCCCCGTACCGGACCAGGGACCGGCAACGGGATCGCAAGCCTCGGTGTCGCTCCCGCGCCTCACTCAGCCAGTGAGCGGGAACCGGTCTGTATGTGGGATCCAAACCCTCAGGCGGGAGCGCCGCCGCGCTTCCCAAGCGGCGCACTTATCCAGTGCGCCACCGGGCCGGCCCTATATCATTTTTAAGCAATATAATTTCCCATCTATGGGAACCTACCGACCTTGGTCCGTCCAGTCACTGAATGTCTGCATAGCCTTTTTCTCTTTCCTTAGAAAATAATTCTGTCCATAATTCCACTTCAGCTCAGGTAACCATTGATTTTGTCCTCGAATTATGGCCCCTGACCTGGATTCGGCATCCAGAAGCCCACCTTCTCTGTAGTCTGTGTTCAGGCACTTGCAATGTGGAGTCTCTATGGCTGCAGTTCCCCGACTATGTTGGACTTTTTTCTTCCTGTCTATTCTTCGGTGCATGCTGCTGGGACAGGTGGAGATGAACCATCATGAATTTGCTTTCCTATGGTTCCTCACCAACTGTCACAACATTACTTACACCTGAATCTAAATGTCTGCACTGTGCACCTTACCTAATGACACTGAATCCACTTCTGATTCAAGACCATAACCTGATCTGAACTGTCCATCTAAGGTCCAGTCTCCCAACCTGTCCTGAGAGCTGCTTGCTCTTATTCTCTATTTCACAGATGTCTTTCTGGGGGCCCCAATGCAAATGTGGTTGCTCCTTAACAACCCCCTCATTCGAGCCCACATAATTATGATAATAAATATTCATTAAGTGCTACCATGTGCTATATTTTTTACAGAGACTTTACTTTGTACTACAAAATATTACTTTGTAGTAATATTATTCTATATTATTCTGCACTTTGTATTAATATTCTGTAATAATCATATATTAAGTTTATTTTACAAATACAGAAATTGAATAACAAAGATTAAGTGATTTGCTCGAGATCTCACCGATTAAGGAAATAGACTCGAGAATAAAATTTAGCTCCTTCAAAATACATGCTGCCTGCTTTCTTTACTTTCATCTTCAACATTTCCACCCCAATCTGGGACTTTTCCTGTATTTCTTCTCATTCTTTCATTCTTAATAAAATATCTATATGGCATTGAACACAATATCTGCAGAAAGCAGGGATTATTACAGTGATGCCAACAGAGGGACTCAAGATATTTTTTAAATTTTCACTCTTTTTTGAGCTTATTAACCATACCATCAGGGTTGTTAAAGGAAAATAAATTTGTAGAGTAATTTCCACCTGATATAAACCAGTGCCTAATTGTGGCTTAAGTTACCTATCTATCTATCTAATCTCTAACATTTTAGATTTGTTGGAATGCTAAGTTTTCTGTGAATAGTTTGGCACTGTATGGTATTTTATCTGATTGGAATAGACTCAGTAATCACAGCACATGAGAATTAAATAACTAATTTTCACATAGTCTTTCTGACAGTGTCTAGCTGGAACTTTAGAAATTTATCTCCTCTACCTTATAGTCTGCCTGACTTACTCAAAATCAATACTTGGGGCCAGCCCGGTGGCGCACTGCTATAGTGCACCGCTTGGGAAG